ACTTGGACCCCTTCTTTTCTTATTATTTATTGATGACATATCCGGTAACATAACGTCTCAGATTAGGCTATACGCCGATGACTGCGTGATTTATCAAAAATTTACTTCTGCTGAGGATCACGAGAAACTGAACAACTCATTTTCCAATTTTTGCACTTGGTGCCAAACCTGGCAAATGAATGTAAATTTCCAAAAAACTGTGTGCATGACATTTTCTACTCGGTCATCCGCTCATCTATTTCCCTACTCATTCGATGGTTGTCATTTAACAAGAAAAATGGAATACAAGTACCTCGGCCTTCATTTCACTCACAACATGTCCTGGTCCAAACACATTGATATTACGTATAATAAAGCCCTGAAGAGATTAGGTTACTTACAGCGCGTTCTCCGTGTAGCACCAAAAGAAACCAAGCTCTTAACATTTAAAACGTTAGTACGGCCATTACTAAAATACGGTTGTGTCGTGTGGAATCCACACAAAGCGTCCGACATTGCAAAACTAGAATCCATACCAAAAAAAGCCGCCCGTTTTATCTGCCGAAGATATGACCAAGATTTTTCGCCTACGTCCAACTTAGAACCTTTGGGTTTAACTCCTTTATCTGCCAGGCGCCATTCAGAATGCTTAAAGCTCCTGTACACCTTGATTAATTCACCGCGCTTGCCCTCGCTCCAAAGGTATCTGCAGTTTGCCACACCACCCTCTGTTCACACCAGGAGTCAGCATGCGCTAAATATTACGCCACTTCACCCCAAAACTGATTTGTTTAAGTATAGTTTTTTTCCCTTCACTATTGAGCTCTGGAACTTGCTACCCGGCGATACCCGCGGGCTCCCTTTGGAGCAGTTTCTGAGTGCAATATCACATGCGTGTTAAGTAGATATTTTCATGTTCTTTTGCTTTCTGTGCTCTTACTCTGTTCATTCTATATCTTGTGTAGTACTATGAACCACAAATTTGTGCCATATGCTCATGTTTTTGTTTCTGCTTGTTATCACCTGATCATTTGTATGTCCACTCCTGCAATAGCCCTAATAGGGGCTGCAGTATGTATAAATAAATATATGATGAAAAGACGCGAGATGACGGGGTGTTCATTAGATGGACGGACGGATGGGCAGACGTACAGACAGACGGACAAACAAATGAACAGACAGAAATACAGACAGATGATGGACAGACAGGGATGGACGGACGGACGGACGATGAGACCGATATATGTACGGACGGATAAACGAAAGCAAGGACTGACACTTGGATGGACTGTCAGATGCATGGATGGATGAACGGACGCATAGACGGACGCATGCATGGTCGCACAGACGGCCGCACGGACGGCCGCACGGACGGCCGCACGAACGGACGGAAGCCTGAACGAAGGAATAGACGGATGGATGGAAGAACGGGTGAAAAAACGGACGCATCACCCCACTTATTACAATTCACTCCGTGGATATGCTGTGAAATATTTTTGCTCTGTCAAACACCACCCTCCATCTGAATTTAGAGAGAAAGGCAAGCCCCTGCCCGATCATTACGTCAAAGATTGTAAACTACTGTTGCATCACTATCACGCCATTGCAACGTTACATAACGTGAGGTAAAAGGATGAAGTCAAGAAATGACATTGTTACTCCTTGAATGGTGGGCGACTAAGGTGAAACAAAAAAATCACGCATATCTAAGATGTAAAATCTGACGACTGGGCAAAGCAACAAGCAGCATACTGTGATTTACCTGTGATATTGCTGTGTTTAATAAATGTTTCCGCGCTCTTGGCTCCCTCAGGCTTGCCGTATTGCTGCAGATTCTTGAAGCTCGTGGTCTGACTTGTGGCGTTGCTGCTAAGTCGCTGCCTTACGTTACTTTCTTTAAATGACGACGGCACGACTGCAGAGAGCGTCCGCCTATATCAGCGATTCCTGGCGGCATTGTGCTGTAACGGAGTTAATCGAAGCGATTTTTTTCGCATGGTGCCACACAGATTGCCCACCAGCGCGTCGACTGTGCACTATGGTGTCGGCAGATTGCAGATGGACGGACATTGTGAGGTGTTGAGGTGCTTCGCCCCTGAAACAACTCTTGGCACAGAAAGCTAACAATGCAGCCAATCCTGGAAGAAGTGCGAACACCCGTTAGTCAGCTTTCATTGTGAGTCAGGCATAAAATTTACTCTGAGGATAAAGAAAAGGTGACGTTGGCTTTTTAGTCGTATTAGGCGAATGCGTAAAAAACCGTGAGACTTTTGTGCTGGTCATATCGTTACGGAGTCGGTGACTTCTGTACAAAATGTTTTTACAGAGGAAAAGCCACGGGCAAGAGTCACCATGGCAGATTAGCAAGCTCGCACAACTCTCAGCTGATTGTGTCCTTCCTCTTCCTTTACTTCATTGCCGTAACAATATTCTGCGCTTAAAACACATTTTAGGTGTTCAACAACTATAGCCAAGCAGCAGTCATTCTCAAACTACCAAGAAGTACTTCGCCTGATACCCGCTGCCTGTGCAGCGGTAATTGCTTGTCATTCCATGGATTTAGGCTTATAGTTTTAGGTTATACCCCAAAAATTGAACACCGCAATAATCCGAATGGCACCTATTCCCCATCAGTAGTACGTGCCAATGCTGTTACACCGCGATGTATTGGGCGCTATCTTTTTAAATAATTTTGTACCTTGTTGCGGTTATGCGGAAGATCTGCACAGATTTACTTGCGTGGCACTGTTCTTTTACGCGCGCTGTATGTCACACTGAAAACGGCATCAAGGACACAAAAACTTTTCCTCTATCGGAAAGCGCAATGGATGAGAAGAACGAATTTGCTTGACAGTGTGAAAATGTTGCCGATCAGTATTACACGTTCGCCAGTTGCTTTAACCAGAAGGGGTAGCGTACTAGTGTTTGTGTGTTTGTATTTCTTAGATGCGAAGCAGCTTATGGTGGAGCTCCACTACTTTTACGGCGCATGCGCGAGAGCTAGGGCAAGCACTGCCAGAACGCACTCATGCGCAAGATCGTTCCGGCTTGTTTAAGGGGCTGGGTAAGAGACTGAGACGTCCTCGCTTTACACTCAGGCGATCACGTGATGGCATCGGGAAACTATAGCCTCTGCGGACACGCGATGAACCAACGTTCTCCCATGTGGCGTGGCAATGAAAGCCCGTGGCATGCTTCAACAAGAGTTCGGGTTGAATAGCAGCAACAGAAACTGCAGTGAATTGGTTGTGCCCTGCACTTGCAAGGACGCATTAACGTGGGGCAAGGGGAGCGACATGAAATCTAAATTGGTGTAGGTGGTGCTCCACTTGCTACACGTGGTTCGTTTCAGTGGGTGATAGCGTAATTTGTTAGTGAGATTAGCGGAATTCTTTACCTGATATTAGTCATGTCAGTGCAATTTTCTAGTCATTTTAGTACGATTAATTTCCGGACATCAAAACTACCTAAGGCCAATTCGCAAGGAAGTTTCAAGCACCAGTGTGGCTGTGTGGTAGAATACAGGGCGGACACGCAGGGAGTCGGGTTCAAATACCATTGTGTCCTTAGTTTTTCTTATTTCGCGAGGTAGTGGTTACGGACACCGGCGGCGGCGGACAGCTACGGCACGCGCCACCCTTGTTGTGATCTCACAACTGTTTCCACTCAAAAAATATTATAAAATGTTTGAAACGAGGGGGCCGCTAAAAGGTGAATCCTGTGACAGCATGCAAGCAAGTATAAATTCGCGCATCCAATAAACCCCGAAAATGCTGGGGAGGCTTCAAGGGCGTCATTTGTACAACAGGTCTTTACCATACGTCGTACATCATCGTTGCGAAAACAAATTTCATCAAAGAGGGGAAAGGGGTGATAAGGTTCACTACGAGCCATACAACAAACTCTACGTGCTCATATTTCCTTCACATTAGGTCTCGAAGCTTTGAGGTGGAAATGAAAGTTCCCGGTCGCAACGCATAATGTATGTTCCTGGGCAAAATTGAAAATCCATAGAAATATAAAAAAGAGTTTGCGCGGAGACTAGGACTAGGAGTTGTTTTGAGCCCCCAGTTCGGTGCGAACGCTCTGACAACGAGGCGTTCACTTTGTGAAAGCAGCTGTCGTTGACAGCACGTTTCAACACTGGCCTTTCTCACCCCTCCAATTCAGAGACACGTTGGGCTGGGAGCACAGGACTTGCGAAGTGTGGGAACAGCTTGCGCTGATCAGAAGGCGAGTGGGTAGTGCCTGAAGTACACGTTATTAAATAGGTTTTTCTCAGGTTGTATTGAATTAGCTTCGACTCCGCTGTACCGCGAAAGAGGCATAGCTGGATCGACGCAGGCTCACGGCCCTTATATGACATTGCTCCACAAACAACTAGCGCAGTGTTGGCTGCGCTTTCTCTTTTACTATCGTTGCTTCAGCAGGCTGAATGGGAGCTGGAGTATTTGTGTGCGCATTAGGTACTCTTGAAGTGGGCAAAACATTTCGACCTATTTCAACATGTTGACCTCGTGACTTTCGTGCCACTTTTCTGTTTCAATACAGTTTCCCAGCCAAGGAACGAACACTTATTTCTCAGAATTGTTTATAGACTATACTGACTGTTATGACATCCTTGAGAATCAAGTTCTACCTAAGATTTCAGTTTATTCTACGCAATGGTAAATAATTAAACCAACATTTTTTTCAGATTAGTAACCTATTTATGCCAACCAAATTGGCAATTGTTTCTTTGCCGAGGTGTTCCAGCAATGCATCACGTATCTACTTTCATTTTTTTTACTATTTGTTGCCAATCATTTTTTGTGAAGAGAAGCACACATAGGAAATGTATAAGCCCACACCTTATTTCCCTAGAGTTTGGCAAATCGCTGTAACATTATTCTTGAATGCAACGAGGTATTTGTTTTTTATTTAGTTTGGAAAATCATAGTGATCTGGTCTTTCTGATTCTCTTAGCCGCGAATATATCCTGCACTAGCCCACGTTCGCTCACAATGTGTTTTTCCTTGCAGGACCAACAAAACCATTTATGGAACGCCGTCCTTGGTCCCCATGTGGGTGTGGCCCGAGACACAGTGATATGTTTTTTAGAGGACCCAATAAATGTGTAACAGATCCAATGCAACTCAACCATCTTTCAGTGAAAGTTTGGCACTTTGGTTATGTTGTGCGAGGTAATACACTAATACGGATGCTAAAAATAAGTAAATCCCAAGTAATTATTGACGTTCTAACACTTCCGGTCACTACGCTTTGTCGTAAGGGAGCATGCATAGTGCCATAACATGCGTTCTTTGGTTCTGATAATATTGTCCATTAAAGAGGTCGTTTAGAACTCGACAGTTTAGAAGGTCGTCTGCATCTTCTGCCGAGAAGGCTCCACCTGAATTACAGTTCGAGCCGGGTTGCTGTTCGAAAAATTATACCTGCGCAAGTGAAAAAAACAGCCTTGTTCTTTTACGGTGTGACGTCCAGCGCTTGCTTGCTTTTGGGAGTGGTTTCCATGTGCTGGTGATCTTCTGGATGTGGATAAACTTCCAATGCAGCAATTAAGTGCGCGACAAGCGCTAACAAGCGCCGACATCGAGTGCTGCTGCTTATAACAAATGAAGCCTGTATAAATTTGGTCCCCGACCTTCTGCGGGGTGGCAGATTGCAGAGAAACCCAATTGAGTTGGGCGAGACACAAATAAGGAAAAAAGGGCACTTTTTACGCAGACCCCAACAGTCTGTACTGAATCTGCTGCGTTTTTTAACGTGCTTTAGATTGCATCGTTCGCTTTACACTGATAGCTCAGCCGATTGGCTCGATAGCAAACAGACGGGTGACCAGTAGGTTTCTGTGACTTCGCAATCACGACGGGTGGTCCTCGCTTTTCCCTATAGAAAAAGATCAGTTGATTCCCCTCAAAAGAGCCTATGCGTGTGTTTTGTGTATGTGTATGTGCACAAGGCGAGAAAAGTGCGTTTCCGTGCCAGAAAGCCCCTCTAGAAGGCGTTCCCGTTCTTTTTAGCTAAACATAGCTCCTTCAATTCCTTTCAGACTCGAGGGTGCAGCGGTGGCATGGGCAATTGGGGAAGTCATAGTGGGATAGAGAAGGAAGGGGCTCGGTGGCCGGAGATAAAAAGCCGCTTAGGAATTCTTTGAAGCGAGCTGCGCCCGAGTTTGCCCGGCGAATATGTTGCGCAAATCGTTTCTCTAATACGGGGCTCTTGTTCATAGTGGTCGTTTGGGCCGCACAGTCGAAGGCTGCGCTAGGCTCGCTTTAGCTGCACACTTAGCTTCCCCTGAACTCTCGAGAAAGTCTTTACTTTTTTGTGTGTTATCGATACTTTTCGCGTACGTGCACGCTAATGATACTCGAAAGGAAAAACAAACTTTTTTTCAAGTTGGTCGGTCCGCACTTTGCCCTGTCCTTTGAGGTTTGCTACGTTGAGCTAAACAGCTTTGTAGGAGGATCGTAACTATAAAGGGCCGATGAATGGAGGCCGAAATGGAAAAAAAAATCACGCTAATCTTGAGAAGGCACACGCCATATATTTTTACATACGACGAGTTGCTGCGTAATATATTACAGAACGTATCTTACTATATAACTTAGCTTACGTTCTCGAAACTCTGTGCATTGTTATGCTTTCATTTATATTTCGAATTGTAAGTGCTGGGGCACGGGAAAAAAGGTGTATGCGAATTCTGTGTTGCATGGTGAGTTACGTGGCACAGTATATTGAAATGAAGAAAAACTTGAAAGTATTACGTTTCACGTTTGAGTGTACAAAAATAAGAACAACTATCATGAAATTAACATAAAAAGATTTCCAGCTTATGCAACAATAGTAGCGATAGCATGTAATATACAAGAATACATATGTCTTAGTACGGTATCTATGTATTTTGACGAATCGCATGAGTTTGTCCAGTGTTGTCGTGCACCGGCAGTTGTAGTAATGTTAATGGTTCGATGAATAATTGCTCTTTGACAAATTTCGAATGCGCCGGTCAGGTCATACTTATTGAAAACAAAACGGTGTGGTAGCAAGGAGGGTGGATTACCTGCTGCCACATTCGTCGCGTGAGAACAGCGCAATTAGTTTCCAAGGCGTTCTAAACACCGTAAAGAATTTTTTTCTAAAAGCCTAAGACTTGCGCCTCAAGGTCGAACACACCTTATGACTGAGCATGATGCGGAGTAAGTGAATGCGTGTGCTTATTTCGGGTAGTCTTAGTGTACTGAGATGATTAGACTAGCTGGTAGTCCTGGTACATCGGCGGCTCAAACAAGCTGTCCTTATACGCCGAAACAAAGAACGCTCTAACAGAACAGACCTCGAATCATCAAGGAAGTGTGGAGCTTGAACGCAGGATTTATCGAATAAGAATATTGTAAACGAAACAAAATATTTTAACGAAAAATCCATGGGGGAAGAGGGGGAACTTTCAGAGCCAGACACAGCAAGACAAATTTCCCTTACATTAACTTGCCATGCGTCCAGCAGCTACGCTATAGAATCTTCGTCAACCTGACGTGCGCTTATCAGTTCCTGGAATCTTTAAGAAGGCACGCATGTCAACGCTAGCCCTGAAGCAATTGACTTTGCGTCTGTTGGACGAAAGGTACTTCGACCGCATGCATGTTTACACCGATGACTCCACTAATTCCAACAACTCTACAGGAGCAGTGGTTGTTCCATCTGAAAATGTGTTGCTTCAGTACAAGTTTTCTCACGCCACGACGTCGACAGCAGCAGAGCTCGCAGCATTTCAAGGTGCAGTAAAGTACATTATTCGGCAGCAACCTAACCAATCGGCCATCTTTTGCGACTCCGGGTCAGCCTTACAGTCACTACGGTTTGTTATGCAGCACGGGTTACACGAACAATCAGTATATCAGATAAGGCACGACTACCACGAAGCGCTCAAGGAAGGTCACGATATTGTAATTCAGTGGTTGCCGAGTCATTGCGGAATCGTCAGCAATGACCGCGCGGATGAAACTGCTCGATTGGCTCATGACGAAGACCAGCGCACGCCCATACCACTCTTCATAACGGACGCTGCAAGGCTACTACAATCACTTGCTCGCCGTATATCTCTCCTACAATGGAATACACATGATTTCTCCAACACGCACCTGTATTCGATCGACGCAAACTTGCAACTTCGTTTGCCATCCGGGCTCCCACGATGCGCTGAAACTTTACCGTGTCGCATGAGGTTGGGCGTGGCACTTACGAATTCGTACTCTCATCTCCTTGGAATGGCGAGCACTTCGGCATGCAACATCTGCGCCTGCGAAGAAATGATTGAGCACATTCTATGTCATTGCCCAGCATACCAGACCGAACGACGTATTATGGAAGCCAAGCTGTGTCAGCTGGATTCACGGCCGCTTACAGAAGAGAAGATCCTGGGACCTTGGCCGACGTCTTCCCATACGCGCAAAGCCATGAAAGCCCTCTTGTACTTTTTAAGGACCACCAGGCTTCACGACCGCTTGTAAAAGAACTGTGCGAGACCATGCTGTGTAGTCTCGAGCTGACTATTCATGCTTCTCTTTCTTACTTGTTTTCTTTTCTATCTCTTTCCTTTCTATTATTCTCCTTTTCCCCCACCCCAAGTGTAGGGTAGCCAACCGAGCCAAGCTTGGTTAACCTCCTTGCCTTTCCTCTATATTTATCTCTCTCTCTCTCTCTTACATTGACTCCCGTTGCCTTTATGTCCAACAATCTGCACGTTTGTTCTGAAGATTTACGCTCTTTGAAGTTGCCGAATTTTTTTATGCATCATTCAGTTGTCGCCAGATTCACAGGCACCTTTGTAACTATCATACTCCGGCATGAGCTCTGCTTCATCACCTCAACCACTTAAAGTGCGGGACATCTTCACCAATGAAAATCGTTGGCGAGGCCACGACGCGCAAGTTCTACCACAACTGCACGGCAGAGCTGATGTCAGGTACGAAGCCAGGGGTCAAGTACGCACCATCATGTTTAGGAAGACACAAAAATTGTGGTCATCGTCCAGTGTGACAAAATTGAAGGCGCGAACGATGCAGTGGAGTTAGTGGGAACAGATGTAAAGTAAGGAAGATCCCTCGGAGAAATGAAAATGATTGGACCGAAACGTGGAATCAGTTGTGTCACGGTATTGCTCGTGTTTATGTCGACAAAGGACAGGCAACGCATTGTACGCTTCTTCACATTAGCAAATATCAAAGACCTCCTTTTCCTGAATCCCAAATGTATCCGGTAGATGCTGACGAGGGACAATTCAAGTAGTTGAACCACGGCGTTGGCGATGTCTGGCAGTGTCCGACAGCAAGACATGGGCTGTCAAATTCGATTGTTTATGCTGTTCAGCTCTTTTCGTTTTTGTTATAGGTAGGTAAATTTTCTAACCTAGGTTTCTGTGGTTTATGAGCACTGATATCAAAACGTGGCTGAGTAAATTCAAATAACTGTTCTGGGTTTTACAACCACAGGCTCTTGTTTTGCGGTCGACCGATTGCCGCCTCTGTAAGTGACAGATAATTCTTGTTTTTGGGTGTCCACTCGTAAAATGGGTTGAAAACGCACGTTTGGATTGACGGTCGGTAGCACGATGTGTTTAGGATTATTCGAGAGGACACCCTTTCTGTAGGAAAATGATCACATGAGAGTGCCAGTCATCAAAGTTTGGTCATAAGTTTTCGGCTTTGCCCTCGATAGATTTTGGCTCTGGCTAGGTTTATTTAGAGTTGAATAGTTACCGCAGTTATGTTGCGTATATACGGGTAAACTGCATTTAGGAGTGTTTCACTGCAATCTGACTTGCGAAACGTTTTCAAGCTAGTTAATATGTATTTAATCCTCCCATATATTCTCCATAAAACATGTAGGTGACTTCAAAATTATAAAGCACCAGCGTTTGCTCTGCCTCGTTCGCGACAGCACCGGGATGTATAAAAATATCGTGGTGCATACATGACAGATCTTATCAACAATCACCGCTCGCGTATAACACGATGTTACCCAATGTCCTAAAATAATTTTCCTACTATATTGATTGGGCTTCGCAATTGTTCGGAGATATTACATTCATACGCGAAAAGCTAAACGAATGCGGAACATTCTCAAAGTAGAACAGCACT